TTCTATTCTATTCTATTCTATTCTATTCTATTCTATTCTATTCTATTTTCTCTTCTCTTAAAGTTGCCAAGCTTGAGAAATACTGGGTTAAATTCAAGAACACACTAAGCCCTAATGTCTTTTTTTTTAAATCAGCCACAACGAGCTGATAAACCATCACAGTTGACACTGAGGTACAGGAAATGAGCAGGTTGGTTTTTCTGCTTCTCTCTGGCAGGATTTCATTTTGATTAAATAGGTTTTTTTAAATAAAGAAAGATATCTGATACAAGCTATTTGAAAATATAGGAAAAGAAAGCAATCAAAGAGAAAGTTAAAAATGCAACAAAAGGGGGGGAAAAGTAAAAGAAATATAAGAACAGACACGCGCCAAGAAGTGGCTTTCAGTCTTCTTTACAACAGTTATAAGCACAAGCATAAATTTATCTCTTACTCTATGATTACAACTCACTTTTTAAAACCTTTTTTTTTAAATCATCAAAGAAAATTTCCCTTTTTTGGTAGCTTTTTGGTTGCTGTTGTCACTTCCTTAATTTGTCGGTTATCCTTTTTCTTTGCGTCTTCTATTTTATAGTCTTTTGAAATTTAATAAAGTTTTGATTACAAAAAACCCCATAAATCATAAATTAGATATTGCCCCCCAAAATCCCTTAGTCCCGATAAAAAATAGATATTGTTCTATTGTTGATCGAGGAAGTCAGTGTAGCCATTCCAGCAAGTTCCATCCTCTTCACCAACCATTCCTCCCTCAGGGTTCCCATCTTGGTACATTAAAACAATGTGCAATATATGCATTCCACAGTTATGTACAATGGGAAAATTCTGTAGCTTTTTTTTTCCAGCAGTTTGTCCCTCAATCCCCAAAAGAAAAACCTCTGATTTCAACAGTCAAATCAATCTTTAAAATCCTCTGAACCGGTGTTTGTATGCAGGCTGGATTTTCTGCACACAATATTTGCTATTTCCTTAATTTAATGGAAAGACTTGACTTCAATTCTCAAAATTCTTTTACAAGGTTAAGGGCAGAAATATTGCTGTGTCCCTCTAGTGGCCGATCCAGGCAACATCTTTGGCATTTGAATGGTCATAAGCTGCATTTGGTCTCTATGGATTCTAAACACTGCAAAGTAAACTTATATCCCAGCAGGAAGGTCCCTCCAACTACAGAGGGTAAATCCCCTCCTTTCTAGCACTGATGATGTTACCTAGTTGGGTAATGAAATGTCTGCAAGAAAACAAACGAGCTCGGAAAGCATTAAGGACTCCTCCTCCTCTTCCTCCTCTTCCTCCTCCTCCTCCTCTTCTCTGCAATCTCTACTCCCTTCTAGCATTGATGATGTTATCTAGTTGGGTAATGAAACATCTGCAAGAAAACAAT